CTATGGTGATCACTTAATACTGAAACATATAACCTCTAACATACATATGTTTTACAATTTTTTTTAACTATAAAAATTGTACTAATAAGTAATATAGTAGATTATAGTACTTTTTATATATATAGTTTTGATTTAATTATGATAATTTTAATTCTTAGTTATTTCTCTTAAAATTATAGAATATTATAGAAAATATGTAAAGAATACTAGTACCAAATTTTTATATATAGTTATAATAGTAATTATTGTAATAAAAATTTCGTAAGTTATAACTATAAATTCTGTATTATAGAAAATAGTAAAATTGGACTTAAAATCGTATTCTTAATAAGTAGCTTGATACTTAACTGTTAATTATATAAAAAAATATATAGTGACTACATATAATATAGTACTCATTCTAAAAATTTCAACTACAAATAGTGTCTCCTTAAATTAATATTAAATGTGTTGTGTGTGGGAAAACTTTCTGTTCACTAAATCAGTGCTGATCATCAAAATTCTAACATTCCAACACTAATATCTCAGCTTCAACTCATTGTTTTTTGCTCAAATTTCGTATTTAAGTTATATCTACTGTAGGCTACCTGTATGTAAAATTTCAAGAAATTTTACTAAGAATTGAGGGGGGTATTGTACAACTGAGCGTTAACTGGTAACTGAGCACAAACTGGTGAAACACAGTAATAATGTCTTGCAATTGATATTTAAAGTGTCCCTGGAATAAAGGCTGAGGGTTCGACTCTTGATGCAGCCAATTCACAGACAAATTTATACATACTCAGAAATGGTATTTTTCCTCCTATCTATACTAATCATAAAATTCTCTAATTTTTTTCACAATTGAAAAGGCATTTATTAATAAAGATTTGTCTGGTGTTCAGAAGAACAACTACATTTGACAAAGTCAAGCATGTGCAATCTTGACCACATTTGAAGATGATTTCCCACACTCTGTGTGTTTAAGGCTCTGGCGTGTTACATTTGAACACCCTTTTTTCTCACCATCACCATTGTCTGCTCTTGTTGCACCTCTAGGGAACACTTTCTCTATTAATATTTCTTGATACTTGCAACACTCATAGGTTTCTTTGTTAGCTGAATCTTGGGTCTGGAGGGCTTTGTATGGTACTGGACGAGCCAGCCACAACTGTAGGTCAGCAAGTATGATGGATAGTCTGTGATGCAAGCCTTGTATTGGTGAAGATGTGAGCAGGTATGGTGCATACTCACTACCATTTCTATTCACATTTGCTAACATTATTCGTTATTTCAAGCACCAAGCTTACAGGATTAGAATGTTGCCTGGGGAGTCTCACAGACGCCCAGCAGGCAGAGCATCTCTTTACACTCTGGTGCTGTGTCTGTGAAATAGGCCAGTCTGAGTTCAGCATGTAGTAGTTATTGACAGATCCAGCTCTCCATGATCAGGGTTGGCAGGATATGCCATTAATATGCAGTATGACTATGTTGCTCTTTACAGTAGATAATTCTCCTGTAGTGCACCTTTGTTTGCAGATCATCAACCTCCTAGCTCCTCAATATCTTCGACCCACTTATTAACCCTATTTCATGTAGTGTCTTCTAACTGAAGAATACACCCCTTGTTTCTCACAAGGACAAGATTTTAGGTTGTGCTACTCCTTGTGGACAAAGACCTGGAGAGTAAGAATACTGTGGACAGTATTGCTTTGTGGTGAGCACCAGCTTCTTACAACAGGCAGGCACATGTGCTGAGCACAGAGTATTCTGTTGGTGAAGGATTGGCACTTGAAGCATTGCCTGCCAAATCTGCCTGTCAAAGTTTGTGTATCATACCAAGAGCTGCTCAAGTGTTTTGTCCTCAACAAGCTGAAGGTACAAGACTAGAGAAGCCAATGACAAAGAAGAATTTGTTCTGTCATCTCAAGACTACTAAGGTCTTCCAGGTCATACAGAGTATGTCTTACAGTTCTAGAGAAGGTGCAACAGCTGGACAGTGGAAACCTTCCACTACATTGAACAGTAACAATTCATTGACCAATGTGGCATACACTGGTACAGAATCAGAATCAGGATATTACAGTCAACTCAGACAGCCATTTAGGTGTGCAGTATGGGAACTGTCTCAGCCAGGGGAGTTTGAAAGAATGTGCTACTGATGGTGGTGGTCTGACTGGGGAACATACAATGCCAATTTTTGTTCTGACAAATGAGGCAGTGTATTCAATGCTTCACCAGGATATCATCTTGGGTAATAATAAAGAAGTCAGAAAGTCGAAGAGGTAATTATTATTTCTTACTTTAATCAGGGTTGCAATAGATTTAACTAATTTGTATGTCTCAGGGTGGAAACACTGGCTGTATCAATCAAAGTCTTTCATGGTATTTCATGGAGATACAAAACGATTGTTTGCAAGAATCCCTCATTGCCTATTAACATTCCTTTGACTGATTGTCTGGGGTTTCCAGATGTTGCATTCTCCAGGGACATTCATAGGACGTTTGCAATGAGATGTACATCAAGCTGTGGAATGGGGAGTTCTTTTCAAGCAGTAGTGCACGACTCAGTGTCATGAATTTCACATTGGGTTCAATTTTCACTTCAAGTAACAATGTGCAAGTGACGGCCAAGTTGAGGGACAATCTGGGGAATGTGGTAGACTGAAGAATATCTCCAGGAAGCAGTGAACCACCTGTCATGCAGTTCCATTCTATGGTCTTTGTACAGAACAATGTATCTATGTTTGGGAACTCATGAAGTAGCAGCTGCTGTTGAATGGCCCATCAAAGTGGCATCTGTATTTAACATTCTGGAATCATAGCTTGAGAGAACGAGTAGGGACATGCAATATTCACAAGCTTGAGAGGCCCTTTGCATTTGTTTTCCTTCCTCTACTCCCAAATTCTTGCACATTTTTGGAGGACAGATGCCTGCCATACACTGATATTGAATTGTATATTGACAGTCAGTCAGGTTCCCACAGATACGTATCTTGCAAGACTGCCTTGGACGTTAGGAGGACAGAGAATGGAGAGTCTAGTAGTCAATGCTGAGGCAATGAGGACGTGCCCTCCAATTCACCACAACTTGGTCACTCGTTTCACCCTTTGTACCACTAAACTCACACAGAATCAAGTGTTGCTGAGCCTTCTCACTTGGGATCAGCTTCATGACTGGGAAATGTTGTCAACCATCCTTTCGAAATTCACATTTGTTGGCAAAATAGAGATTGTGAAGTTCCTGCAGGATATTTTCGACTCACAGTTTGCCATCCTTGCCTCACCAAGTAATCTTGCTGGGGAGACAGACGGATTGGTATCCAATGTGTTAGTCACTGTACTTGGTATTGTACAAGGTTGCAATCATTGCCTCAACAATCTCCAACCAGTCCTGGATGTATACATTGAACAGCATTTCAATTGCTTGTCTGCCTCATTTTACATGGACCAAGGATGAAAAGATCTGTCTCACACTTCAGAGACATCTCACTGTTTTGTCCATCTTCAGGAGGCCAATGATATGTATCAGCTGAGGCTGGTGCCATAACAAGATACAGGGCAAGTCCAACAGGGTCCTCAGTATTCAGTTCAATAGTCTCATTCCATTATCAATCATAGAGTTATTAGGTTGCTACAAACACCCTGGTCAGACACATTGCCAATCTGTGCCTGAGTCACCACAATTGGCTGCAAAACAATGCCATACAGATTTAATACAATATGATTGTTTCCAAGTACCACATCTCTCAAAATTTCAATAACATTGAGAATGTGCTTGTGAATTAGCAAGTCTGACTCATTGCTATTGAGTAATCAGGTCTGTCTCATTGTCTGCCAAATGTGTTGTTGTGGCATGATAAATAATGTGTGATACAGTCAAGGCATTGTTAAGATTAGGCAAGCTCTTTGTGAAGACAGCTGCAATGGTACACATCAGCATTACTTTGGTTGATCTTGATTTGATGCACAGATGGGTGGATTCTACGAAAGTTGGGTCAGAATTAAGTTTTTCTGTCATATTGGCCTGAACACATACCTTCATTGTCTCCATGTCCTTCCTCCACTGAGCTGTCATCCCTACACATACTGTTGAACCTCATAGAACACTCTACTTCTCCCAAAATACCTAGTCTTGCTTTCCAGTATTAGCAGTCACTTTCTTCAGCAGTAGAAGCTAGGATTGTCCCATTCACCCACCTTGGTACAGTTGAAAATGTCTTATTGCATAACGTTGGGAGAGGGCTGAACCCAATACATTATACAATTTATACATTATGACAATACATTTTGGCTGAGGACCTGAGTTTTGGTCTGGCCAAAAGTCTATGCATTATGCCATTTATGCATTATGATGTGATGCAAAAAGACATTTTCAACTGTAGTAGGCTACCTGGAAAGGCAGGAACGAAGGTGGTGGAAGGAATCAACTATTACTTTCTGTGTCTGCCATTGAGTAAAACAGGGGAATCAGCTGTCTTCAAGTACTGTGTCCAGTGTTATATCATGTTTGTGTACAATTGTCTGTTTGTCTAGACTGTGCATCTCCTCACTCTGGTAGAGTTGTAACGGATGTGTTTGCACTTGGTATGTATGGCTGAAGTGTTGTAGCCATAGGGAAAGTTAAGTTAGTTGATTGAACCAGTAATTAAACGAAAAATCTGAATTGAAAGTATGGATAAAAACGTTGACAAAGGGGGTCGTTGGCAACCCAAAGTGTTGAGGTTGTGCAACTGTGACTTCCTGTACTGGTCGTTCTAACACAGGCTAATCCTTTCTTTTCACAGCTTTAGCATTTGTCAATGCTTCTACCCTTAGGCTCAGAACTAAAGAACCATACAGGGTGCCTGAGAAGCCTCACAGATATTTATCCCCTTCTGCTGGAGTGGTGGATGACATATGGATTATGAGTCAATCTGTTGTTGTAGGGCACAACACATTCCTGCATGCTTAAAACTCCACCTTGAATGCAACACCTTACTTCCTCAGGTCCCCAACAACTGCACCTTGACATTGTAAGTCAAATCCCCATTTTCACCAGATTTATAATGTCTGAATCAACAATACAATGCTCCAGATTAGCAAGAACCAAGTCAGATAGCTCAAGGCAGTTATGGCAACACATGAATATACACTCGAACCAGCAGCACACAACATCTCCAATAGCAGGCTGGTTGACGTTTTGTATCACTGTGCTGACCTACAGTTTGTCTTTCCCTTCTGTAAGGACACTCTGGCCTGCCTTTCTCAGATGTGTCAGCTCATGGAGGAGATATGTGCTCTACACCTCTGGAGGGAGTTGGACTCAATTGCCTACTTTGATAGATTGCTTGGAGGCAATCATGTACATCATTCAAACTTTTGCATTCTTTCATAGCACTTATCCTTGAAGAGAAGATGTTAAGAAATGCAGCATACATTAAGGAACTCATAGTGGATACGAGTGACAGGAGATCACTGGCTGTTCTGAACTATCTATTGTGTATGCCAACCAGAGGAAACTATACTGTCTCTTTCTCACAACTACAGGATATCACAATTGTGGCAGAGAAAACAAGGTTATTCTTTTGTGCTGGCCCTCTCTTGGGACAAAGCATACATCACATGAAGTTAATCAAATCATATGGATGGAATGGGATTGAATGGATGCATGGTGTCATATTCGACAAGTCCAGCAAATTCTTTGAGGAAAACCAGGCCTATAACTTGTTTGAGCTGCTTGCATGCAAATGTGAGAATGTCATCACACTCACTCTTTGTGACATGGTACCCAAGTGGAATGATCAATGGTTTCCACACCTGGCAAACTTTGTGTGCTAGTTGAACATTGATTCTTGTACAGCCCCTTTAGTATCTGGTCTTGCATTCAGCCAACATCTAAGGGAGTTGAAGGTGGAGGTTACAGAGGACCTGCAGGTGATGTTTTCTATTCCTGACAGGTCCTTTGCCTCTGTGACCAAGCTAAAGCTCATCATGCCTCTACCCTTGTCTATGCAATTTTTTTGCAACAGGTGTTTTCCTGTGCCTGAGACTGTAAAGCTCATTTTGCCACAACAGGAGTCTGCCAAATCTATGCAAACAGCATTACAAACTCTTACACATAATTCAGCACTCACCTCAATTACCTTGGATGCAAACAACCTGTATAATCCTTTTCATGATGACAACAATGATTGGATGGTGTTGTTGTGTGGGCATATCCATGACATCTTCTCAGGAGGGCTATGTAAGCTAAATTTGGCATTTACTTGCCTGATAGTGCTTTGGGACAGTGATCTTCCCTTGTTACTGTCATCGTGTAGCAACCTTGAGGAGCTACTCCTGAATCCATATCCGAGATGCAATAAAGTACCGTCCTTGACGTATCGTGCATTACCAACAATAGGCATGTTGTGCCCAAGGTTGTGTGTGCTAGGTTTGTATGTCCATTTTTCAGAAGACTTCCATGATCCGCCAGAACAAAATGGCCTCCCTTTGACTCTGGTATCTCTTACTTTGGGGTTCTCACCATTGACAGAGACTAACATCCAGCATGTGTCAAAGTATCTGTCCTGTATCATGCCAGATACTTGTAGTCTTGACATCTCTACAGACAAATGGTTACTTCTATCCCTCCACAACGAAAAAATTCACACATATGACACAAGATGGAGGAGTGTCAGTTTCATTTTGGCTTCTCAACAAGGTACCATTTGATAAAATAAGATAGTGCTGGGAATAACACCACATTGTGTCTTATAAAGAGTAATGTAATAAATCATACAGTTTGTGTCTATAGTTTGATTGACAACATTCACCGTGTGTCAGGAGAATCTGAGAAGGGTAGCTTGGATCTGTATTAGTCATATTGTCATACCTAGATATTGTCCCAGATTATGTAGTCAAATCTAATAGCTAGATTAATCTAGTATAACTTAACATACCTAGCTTTGATTTATGTATAGATTATCTGGTAAAAGGTAAGTATACATATGTACAGATAGTCTTAACTTACCTGTAATTGGATGAATCTATCTCACCTAGACTAAGTGATTCATTAGATAAGTCTAGGATATGTAAATTGATCTGTACCACCCAAATCTAGATTCTTAGTGCATACATGGACTTAACATTTTGCAACGCGTCTCAGACTCTCACTCTTCGTCTCACCACTGCCACCACCACCACCACCCTTGTCTGTGTACAATCACTCCCAAGGCACAATCCTCTCTCTGAACCAAGTAGGCACTCTCTTCCTCACCCATTCCATGCTTGACATCACTCTCAATAGGTCTAATTTGCATGGCACATGTATTTACATTTCCTGGTGCCATCCATGACACTATTTCGAACAGAGGCCGTAGCCCAGAAAGCGAGGGCATCGAGAGACTTAGTGGTAAGGAGAGCGTTTGCAGTTGACCTTGACCTTGCAAGCACTCCGCATCGCCCATCTCGAAATCAGCAAAGTCCGCCATCTCCACTTCGCGCACGCTGCTACACGTTGTATGCGGGTATCCGAACGGGCCACCATACAGCGAGCTATCAGCAGAGAGTGAGTCGAATTCGCTGTAGTTGTCAGAATCAGCGGTTGACGCTGATGAAGAAACGCTCGCGGTGCTTGCGGTAGAGCATGACGAAAGGTTACGTGCGCATGCGCCAGAACCTCGGACACGGCTCGACGATTTAGTGCGTTCACGTCTCTCTTTCTTACTCTCCTTCTCCTTGCTTACTGAAGGAGCCACCACTGCTGCTATTGTTGGGTCTTTCTTTCCCTTCTTGCTCCTATCAGATCGCGAGGGCTGATAGACATACCACAGGTACATCTCCTCATGCTCCTTCCCCCTCTGCTTCGCGAGATCGTCCCAGTATTTACACTTCTTACTAGTATGCAGTTCATCG